TGGCCTATTTTTGCAATGAAAGGTTTGATGCCATTGTGGTTTATTTAGCTTGAGAATATTGATCTATATTTGGAGTCGCAGGTTTAATGGAGTTGTGGTTTATTTAGGTAGGGCATCTTGGTTTGTAGCTTTATATTATATATTTACAAAGTCACGGGTTCTTAAATGTATTAACTTGTTTTATCCAAATATGCGGTTCCAATACATAGCCTTCACTTGGATGAAATAACCTAAAATATAATGAAATGTGAGATTTAACATCATTTAGGGCCCAAATGTCATTATGTGATTATCAAATAGGGAAAATTGAATGGTTGCATTTATTTAATTGACCAAGCTCAAAGTTCAAAAAAAAAAATTGAGCTGTACTCCTCATCTTCCCTGGTGCCTGAGCCCCGCAGCAGGGCCGCCCCTTACTCAGACTTGGACCAGGTAAATGATGAGCTACACATTGCACTTGATTTTGTTTGTTATGGTGCAGTTCAAAGAGGCAAAGCCTTATTGTGAGAGCTGAGAATAAAACATGGAATTTTGTCTAAAATTAAAGAAATGGGTATGGTAGGTTTGTTTGGGATAGTTATAATAAATGCGACCATGGAATTTTTTCAAAAAATAATAATAAAGAAATGAGTAAAATAATTGCTTATGCTTTTAATCCAATTATACTTTATGGCGATGTTTAAAAAAACGAATTGGTGAGGAGGAATGTTCAGCTACCAATCCCATGTTATAGCGCTACACTAATATGTATCAAAGATTTTTCCAAACAACGATTTAATGCATGGTAAATATACCATAGGGAAATATGTCATAACCCTTTAAAAAATCGTTAAAGGAGTCTAAACATCTCAATTAGCGCTAGAGGGTTTAATTTTTTATTTTTCAGTTCACACTACCACCTCCTTAAAAATATATATTTAGATGCTTATATTGCACATTTTCATGGTTGGGAACCTTAAATAAGCATAGGAATTTTGGTGATTGAACCCCATCTGAAAGGTCCCAACCAAATACTAGGAGTATCATTGCTTGTCCAAGGAGGGTCAAGTTATTTAAATATTTTTTTTAATTCAAAGTCCACAACCCTAAAAAGGGTAGCTTTTTTTAATTTTTTTGTAGATGTACTCAAGTGAAATAAAAACTATAAAGTGAATTAATACTTTAAAAATTAATTGAGATATTTTGACTCCTCTAATGATTTTATAAGAGGTTTTGACGCCATAGATGATTTTAACTTATACTATTTAAAACAAAAAACATCATATTTATGTTTATGTAATCTACGTGCTTATGGTTTGAGGTGAACTATGCTTTGGAGATATATACAATAAAAGCATCTACTTTGGGTGCAGAAGGTGACAATCACTCTCAACCATTGGATGTAAAATTAAACATAAAGGAATGTGCCTCTACTCAAATTTAATTTTCTTTAAACATTATGACACAAATAGCTACTTGATTTCATGATTTTGAGCCAAGAACAATTGTAAACTCTTTACGCCCTTAATAAACACAATATTTAGTGTAATATATAATGGAAAAAGTTTATATAAGGTTGTAACTTTATATTATAGAAGTAAAATGTATCTCAAAAATCCAATAATTTGAAAAACCTTCAAATTGATCATCTCGATCGATAGATATATATAAAAAAATAATTTCAAGTTAAAATAGTGCATATTGTAATAAGTTATCTGGACTTTTTATTTTATAGATTTTCAAGTGTTTATAGATATACTCAATCTACGTTATATTAGAATTTTAAATTTCATAAGTAAAGTTGAATATAGATTTTAAAACCATTAAAAAGTTTTCAATACTAAAACGATATCTTCTCTTACAATTTACAGATACACCTTACTTGAACAATACAAGGTGAGCACATTATACAAACCTCATTTATACATAATATACAAAGGAGCACCCTACAGCTACCTTAAATGGGGGTAATCATAGTATCATACCAGCTTACGCGATGGGCATAATATAATATGTACTATAAAACATACAAACTGCCAACGCCATCCATCTCGTTGGTAAATGGTGGAGATAAGCAGTTGTTTATCGTCCATTACCGTAGCACCTGTTGATCTTCACCATTATTCTAGCTGGGTGGATGGCCTAGGTCCTGTGTACCTCTTTGCACTATGTATAGTGCGCACGTGCTCACTGTTTAGAAAAAAGTAAGTTTGGTATACCATACACAAAGGGCAATGCATACATCTCCATCTTTTTTTAGCCATTTTTCTTGAAAAATCCAAGTTACCATGGATAGTTAGTATCCGAAATCAATAATGACTTTGGGTTTTCATTGACTAAGGATATTAAAAATCTGAAGTTCTACTTTCGATTTTCAATCTTCAGAGTGAGGTTAAAATAAAGAAATTATAAATAAAATAGATACACGTGTTTATAGATGTGTCAAAATTTAATAGAGATTCTTTGGGGTCATACTTACATGGGTCTAGGATTTTGGTGAATGGGTTTATTGATAAATTTTCTAAAAACTTGTGTCAAAATTTAATGGTGATCTTTTGGCGTCCTACTCACATAGGTCTGGAAGGGTCTCATAGTATTATTACTCATATAAAAAATAGGAGAAAAATTTCAACCCAACAAAACGCTGACGACCGTAAAAAAAAATGTTGGCCAACAAAGAAATAAAGAAATATTAAAACTTTAGATATTAAAGATCTTATACTTGTTTTTGAAGCTCAAGGTAAACTTTGGAACTTCAAAATCCAACTATTTTTTTAATAGCAATCTAATCCTATACTTTATGTATAACGTTAACTTTGAACCTTCAAAATCCCTTAATGTTGCTAGAGGAATGATTTCGGACCCCGAATGTCAATTGTTAAATGTATAATAAAGAGTCACCAAGACTTCTTTCCTAGACCTAAACTTTAGACCTTCAAGGTAAAAAACAAGTGTAATTTGATAAAATATGTATACAAAAAAAAGAATATAAGCAAAAAAAATATAGAACTCTTTTGAGGGATATAAGAGAATCCTAGGGGATGTGTATGTGAATTCTTTTTATTTTATTTTGGCCTCGTGGGAAAGTATAGAATCAGATTATTTACCTTTTATATAAGGTGGTCACATTAATCTTGACCATTGGATGTGAAATTGGGTGGTTGCAATTATTCTATTGACCAAGCTCAAATTTCAAACGAAGTTTCTCAAACTTTATGACACATCCAAGCTATCAAATTTCACATCAAATGATTGTAAGGAATTGTGACCACCTTGAATCAAAGGTAAATAGTCTCATTGTATATAATCCCATTGTAATTTCTCCCATAAAACTCATTTTTTTAGAGCAAACGGATTATTCATGTGCCCCATGACCTTAAAGGTATGAAGTGGGATTGTTTTGAAAAAAACCAAAAGCCAAGAGATATTCTACTCCCTCGGTAATAGAATGTCCGTTTACTCCCTCGGGTCAAATCCCACTGAGAATTAATGTTATGAGGGTAAAATACTAAAGTATACTATGCTCCCTCATTAGCATAGTTTTTTCAATTGGAAATTTTGATAACCACCTTAGAATCATTAGTAGATAACTATTCTTACAAAAAATAAAAATAAAATTCTGAAATTTGAGTTTTCTAAAACTTAGATCTACCCTCTAAAAATTGAACGGTTTCTATTCAATTTTAAGACATTATTGGGTGCAATTAATAAATTTTTTTATTGAGGTTAATCTATGTGTTAAATGGGTTATAATCCCAAAATGTGGGGTCCTAAAAGTGGGATTTTACCTAGGGGTCGTTTGGATACAAGGAAATATATTGTCCATGAAATATATTACTGGCGTAATATATTATTGCATAATACATTGCTTGCAAATGGATTATCATTGTTTGGGTAGTATTTGATGCAATTTGGGAAATACATTGCTCCTATTTAGCTATATCGGGAAGAAATATGACAAATGCGTTACCAACATTTATTAACAGTTGCTTATAAACTATCATTTCTTTTTTTTTGGTTACAAAATTCAACCTAAATTTGAAATTAAAGTATCATCACACCTCTCTAAAAAGATTTTCTAATAATAACATCATCACCATTCTACATAGAGAGATAAAAGACAGGGTGAGCCTCACGAAATAGATACCAAACAGCTCGATTCATTAAAAAGAAACAATTTTATCACAAATACATTCACAATTTTTTCATGCATTCGTAATTGCAAGTAATATCTGAAACCCTGATAAAAGACATGGAGAGTCTAGAATATCCGTAGAATGATACCGAAAAGAAGGCTGGGTAGAGAGAGAAGCATGAAGATTAACAAAAGCATACCTGAGCTTCAAGGGCTTGAAAGGGGTAGAAGGCTGTGTAGAGAGCGAAGTATGATGATTAACGAGAGCATACCTGAGCTTCAAGGGCTAGAAGGGTGGGTAGAAAGAGAAGTATGAAGATTAACGAGAGCATACCTAAGCTTCAACAAGGCTTGAAATGGGTAGAGAGTGAGTGCGGGATTGGGTGGGAAGTACTTGGGGTTGCAGAGAAATAAAGAAGAGGCGGTTTGGCTTGAGTAGAGTAGAGAGTGAGAGGAAAATGGGTTTTGTGAGTTTTGAAGAGAGACGTACGAAACATTTTCCACAAATTAGACGCGTGCGAAACATTTCACATATTAGCCATCAAACGGGTAATAGATTTTTCACTTCTCCCACGTGTAATCAATTTCATGAATTTTGGAGAAATCTTGTGTAATATCACCTATTATATTTTCATTTTTTTACCGTTCAAATGTACCTTAAAAATAAAAATATCATACTTTCTTGTAATTTATTTTTATGTAATAGATTCCATGATATCCAATTGGACCCTAGGAAATAAATGTACAACATACTTCCAAGAGAGTAGAATATCTATTTCGCCATACTCGAACGGAGAGAAAAATGTAATAACGGATTTCTCTTTTCCACACTCCGTTATGTCGCCCGTTTTCTCGTTCCCAGGCGAATTGATACCGATTTGGTTACCCACATGTTCACTGGGCGACTTGCTTGATTAGGGTCTGCATTTCATTTGTAAGCCGTAGAGAAGAGAGACTCTCCACTGCAGCTTCTCTAAACCCTAAGTCCTAAGACAGGAGAGAGAATTTAGAGAAAGAATGCTCGAGGCTTCATCCATGGCGACGGAGGCCATTGAATCCGTGCAATGCTTTGGAAGAAAGAAAACAGCGGTTGCAGTGACTTACTGCAAAAGGGGCCGAGGTCTGATCAAGATCAATGGCTGCCCCATAGAGCTTATGAGTTCTGATATCCTGCGTTATAAGGCCTATGAACCTATCCTGGTTCTCGGTCGCCATCGATTTGCTGGTGTTGATATGAGGATTAGGGTTAAGGGGGGAGGTCAAACTTCTCGCATCTATGCGATTAGGCAGAGCATTGCTAAAGCTCTGGTTGCTTTTTATCAGAAGTACGTTGATGAGCAATCAAAGAAGGAGATCAAAGATCTATTGGTCAGGTATGATCGAACCCTGCTTGTTGCTGATCCTCGTCGCTGTGAGCCAAAGAAGTTTGGAGGTCGTGGTGCTCGTGCTCGTTTCCAGAAGTCTTATCGTTAAAGAGAGAAAGGGAAGAGAGAATGCGAGGCTATGTTTTTTGGTTTGTGTTATCTCGCATAGTTCATTTTGTTTTCAGATGAATGTTTATGGATTTGGTTGCAAACTTATTCTATTTCTTTCCAGAGTTTTGGACTGCTTGGCTAAGAATGTAGTTGATTTAAGTGATATGTCTTTAATTCTAAGAAAATTTGAATGGTCATGTCCTGATTCTGAGTTAAGGTTCTTCCGATTTCTACCTTTGTTTCAAGAAGTTGTTCTCTGGTGTTTTTCTGCTTGAAATAACCATATGTCGGCATTGAATTGCTTTAGTTTCTTTTCTCTTTGGAGAATAGACATAATTTTCCAAGGTTCAATTTTTTTGGCATGGGTGCTTGTGGATTGATACATATAGTTTCAAATAAATTTGATACCTTGCAAGTTTTGTTAATCCATGAACAGATTGTATTTGATTTAATGAGATGGATACAGCATACCAGTAGAGATTACTTTTTTTATGCTTGCTGAAGTTTTTTAATTGATGACTCCATGTCCCTGTTTTTTGTGTTTTAGATGTTTCAATGCAGAGTTTGCTTTTCATAAAATATCATCCATAAAACTGTGTCGTGGAAATTGATAACCACAAAAAATAAAAAAAATAAAAAAAAGAAGAAAAAAAAAAACGTTGTCATATTTAAGATCTGTTGTCCTTATGTTTCCAAAATCTTTAATTGATAGAAATCTAAATTTGGAAGCTTAATGTCTCTCTAGGCGAATCTGTGCACTTATGGCGCCATTTTCAGGGCGCACTTTTTCTTTTAATTACTCTAGTTCTGATGCATTATTTATCAAAAACATAGCCTTTGTTATTTATCATAAAACAGGCTGCTTTTGATTCATCATATTTTTGTCATACTCATCCAAATTTGGATTTTGCTGATCTGTTGTGGTTTTCATCTCCTTATCTACCTCTGACAACTTCATCTAGGCAGAGTTTGGGTTATTATACCCTTGTCTATTTATTGGAAGTATCCTGCCAATTTGTTCCTTCGTTTGGACAAAATTTCATTGGCATTTTGTAAGCTGATTGCATTAGCTGAAAACATTTGATCTTGCTGTCATCTGTTCAATTGTGCTTCTGGTTTTTTTATTATTATTGTTGTTTTGGAAGTAACAATGCTCTAGGGACAAAAAAGAAGAAGAAATCCTAACAAAATGTTATAAGCAGTGTTCGCAAAATCGAACCGGAACGGTTAACCGGACATGGGACCGGAAGCGATTTAACCGGTCTAATCGATAAACCGGCCGATTCAACCGCTCTAATCAAGCAAGTCCCGAACGATCAAAAAAGTGTTGAAAAAAATAAAAAAGATATAAAAAAAATCTACTAAAATATGAAAAGCATATAAAGAATGTGATTAAAACAAAACACACTCAAATGAAGTTGAAAATTATTGAAAGAAATGGATTTTAACGAATCGATTTGTGCCAAGGGGTATTTTTAAAATTTTCTGAAAAAGATGGGAAAATATAAAAGTGAGTATCAATGACCACAAGTTTTTTTAATCTTTACCATAATGTAAATAATATTAAAATAGCGTTAAAAAATCGACTTGACCAACTCTTTTTTTAAAAGAAAATGAAAAAAAATTAAGTTATATACAATATAGACCATTCTTTTTGTAAATGGCACATTGGTTAATAGATCTAATAGGCAATTAAATAGTATATGGTGTATTGGTTAGTGGGTTTAATAACAAATTATTTCTTTATAAGAACTTTCAAGTTCGATTCATTTGGGCAAGTAAATTTTTTGAACTTCTTACCAATGTAATGAATTCTTAGAATTGTTAAAATGAACCACATCAATGTTTGAAAAGAAAGCCGCTGATGGAGGGATTCAAACCGTTGTTCGTATAAAGTATAGTCGCCAGCGCTAACCAATACGCCATTCTAAAATATTTGATATAAATGTGAAGTAGTATTCTATTTAAACTTTAAGAAATCAGTTGATCCCCAAAACCGGAACCGGCCACTGGCCGGTTCCAATCTAACCGGTCGGCTAGCGGTTAGATCAGCCGAACACTGGTTGTAAGACATCTGTTTCTCTGGCAAAAGATATGTTGGGTGACATCACTTGTAAAGGAAGTTTTCCTCGCTGATAAGGATAGTGAACAACTTCAAGTAATGTAAGTTGGTTATTGCTCAAGTGGCTCCCATGTTGAGGTCCTCTTGAAGCATCATTCTATTGAGTTTAACAGTTTAAGAGCTAGAACCATCTGTGGTTGTAGTCTACTAGCTATTTCTGGATCAGCTACTGGGTTTAAATATGCTAGGGAAATCAGATCATTGTGGCAATGTATTATAAGAACAATTGTGAGCCCTGCTAATTTAGCGAGAAAAAGCAAAGAAGAATTGTTCATAATAAGTAGGTAGAGATACAGAGAGGTTACCTAACATTTGGGAGGCTACTAATTTGGGTGTTTTTTGTTCTCATCAAAAAATTCAAAGGTAAACAATAAGTGGCTCTTGATTTGTTGGATGATTGGATTTTTTTTTTGAAATTGTTAACGTTTCGAACATTGGAAATTTATGAAAATTAATTCATTGACTAGAGCATTTGGAGAGGTATCATTCCTTATATCTCTTATCAATACATTGTCAAATATGGTCAGAACTTAAAAAGTTTGTCTTGGCTGCAAGAAAAAGTTATACATCCTTTTCGATTCTGTTCCTTTTTTTTTCTATTTCCTTACATTTAATATGGTTGCCTAGCTTGTGTAGTGATAAACTGGTGCCATATTTGGTGCAAATGCATGGTTGTTATCTTGTATATCATTATGGACCTCTCTTATGATCCAGATTCCGTTACCTATTGGATAACTTCTTATTGATATCCTTTTTCGTCTTACTTCCTTTTTTAATGCTCTTTAGATATGTTTTTACCAAAAGAACTCCTCAATGTTTTAATCATGCATCTTTAGTCAGGAGATATTTGCCACAGGAAACAATCTTTTATCTTCCTTGTACTTAATAGTTGTGCGACCTTTTTTATATGGAAAAGGTTAAATAAGGCCATGGCTTTATGGAAAAAACTGAAGCCTCACCTTAGAACCAGTTGAAAATTGTAGTGCTTTGATGTCGGAAAACCTTCGAATCTATATTTTGACCTTGATCAATATAGTTGTGAAAAAAAAAATAGGAGTTCAAGCCCTAAAATGACATATATTGTAACATACTATCTAGACCGTCCATTTTCAAGATTTCTTAGATCCATAAGATCTATACCACTTTTTGAGCTACAAATTTCACAATTGACACGGTTTCTATGAGTCCATGTAGAAATGAGTCACCTCTTAAAAATCTATTTTTGAGATGTATTTTTGGACCTAATTTTTAAGGACATGTAATCTCTACCATGGAGATCATGAATGTGGAAAAATAAATAAATTTTGAAAATTAAAAACCATAATTCTATTAAGAAAACATATGGACCGTAAGTTTCAATTGTTTTTAGATGGACCATCTATTTGCGTCCATCTTTAAGATGGATGCTTTATACCTCGGGGACCCTCCGGGACCGCAAATGTAGAAATGTGGTACCCGCCGCATGAAACAATATTCCTTTCATAATTAGTGGTGGAAAACAGACTTTCCAGCTATCTTAGGGATTTCCCATGCCCAAAGTGTTTTCGGACAAGATTTCGAGGAGAAGCTTTACTTCTTTTTTTTTTCCCCACAAGGCCTAGGCCTTATAGAAACTGCATCCTTTTTATATATCTTGAAGCATTTCTTCAACTAATGTTTTCATGGAAAGTTCTCACTGCTGAGTAGTATCTCTTGATGGAATTCTTAAGTCATAAAATCTAACTGATAAGATGACATGAGAGAAATATCAAGTGTGTGCATTACATGCTATCTTATATGATGAAAGAAGGTCAATGGGTTCTAATAATCTATGTGTTTCGATCAAATAAGGCTCTTGGGTGAGGATTTTAACTTATCACTGAGCGAAAATATCAGTAATGGAAGACTGGTGGCACAATTTAGTGGCTTCTAGAAGTCTTAATAAAGAAGAAAAATTATTACGTTAGCCATGGTGGCTGTTTCTTTGTGTTGTGCAATGAACTCAACACAATTGTAACTACTATGTATGTTATCCAAGTTGTGTCATTTGTCCTGTGTGGGTGAATATGTTATTATTATTTTTTGTTTGTGTACTGGTTTATTTGAAGAAGCCTTGTTGTTTGTTGGTAACCCTCTTTGTATCCTCTAAGTCAGGGTGGTCAGGGTTCTTTGGTGGTTGTATCCTCAGTCATTGCCTGTTATTTCACATTTCATGATAATTATATCGAGTGTGGTACTCCATTCCTTTTGTGGTTCACACAATCTGTTTTTCAGTGCAGCAGAACAATGCTGATTCTTTGCTCCCTATTCCCTTCATAAAAAGTCTTAAACTAAGAAGGAGATGGCATAAAAAATGGTTTGTATCCTCCAAGTCAGGGTGATCAGGGTTCTATGGTGGTTGTATACTCTGTCATTGCCTGTTGTTTCACATTTCATGATCATCATATCAAGTGTGGTACTCCATTCCTTTTGTGGTTCACACTATCTTTTTTTCCGTGCAGCAGAACAATGCTGATTCTCTGCTCCCTATTCCCTTCATAAAAAGTCTCAAACTAAGAAGGAGATGGCATAAAAAATGGTTTGCTATGGGAGGCTGGCTATGCCATATATTTAGCTACATTCCATGACGTCTCATGCTTTTAGACTCCCTGGAAACTGTCCTATTTGTTATTGGGTATGTTTATTGTAATAAAATTTGAAAAATTTGTCTGACAAAAGGCAAAATTTAATGCTGCCATTACTTCATTATTTGACAAGCATGTGTCTAATCATATTTGGAAAGTGCAATGCCAATTATCAATCACATCTTAAATAGTTGGATGGTGCTATTTTGTACTTGCATGTCTGTGTATTTGTTAGTGCTTAACTCCGGATATTGATGCTTCTGAACTAGCACCAATTAATGGCCCTCATCCATCCTTCTTGACTTCTGGTTTTGTAAAGTGTAGCTTGATGGTAATTGGTGTGTCTGATGCATTTGGAGAATTTTGTCAATCTCACGCATTAGGTTTTGGCATCTGGCATTCATCCCATGAATTGGTTATAGGTTTATGATCACTGTCTAGTTTTCATGATTATGGTGCAAAATTTTACAAATTCAGTGCTGAAGTGTAGGCATTGAAGCAGATTTTTCTGCAATACGCTTTATATTCTGTGAATACTTCAGACATTTGGGTAATCCTCGACTATCTCAAGGGATCTCTTTTTATTTCCAGTGCTGTTGAGTAGTATTATTTTCACTTGCTCCTAGGTTGAATGTAAGTTGTTGAGTCAGATATGCTCCTGGGCATGTGTTAGCTAGGCTAGGTTTTGTCAGCGCCACCCTGCCCTCTGTCCCCCTGCCAAATCTGAGAAAAAGAATAAGTGTAATTTAGACTGATCACATGCATAGATGCTTAATGCATGGTTGTGGGTCATGTGCAATCTTAAAGAATACATTTAACATTCATTTGACTCAAATGAAGAAAATATAGAACAGTTCAAGAAGCTATTATCTCAAGAAATAGGCTAGAAGTTCCATGAGAGCAAAGTTTATATAAAACTCTTTCCTTTTTTTTTTGAAGAAATGTTAACTTTCTAACTCTCTATGCTTTTACCACCATCTATTTTTAAAGCTACCTATGTAACTCACTTTACGTTCTTTCTATGATTCTATACCCTTTAGCCTTGACTATATGAATTAGGTGATTGGAATTTGGCTCGGAACTGTGCAGGGCCCGAGCCCAAGTCAGCTTGTTTAGCTTAGATGAGTCTATATGGGACTCGAGTCTATGAAATCTAATACAATAACCTTGAGAAGTGGTGGGGACACAGTTGTTTCCTGAGGTTTTGACCATAGGACCCGGCTCCCTGCCAGGTCAAAGCAACTCAGACATGTCGAAGTTGACTAGTTTTCATTCGCTGCTAGGAGTGATTATTTGTGGATGCTACCATGTAGGATAATTTGGTGTCTTGCTGAACAATATATCTAAACTGTGACACACACATGCACATGTCTATGCTTTGCTACAATGCAAACATCAACAGTGCTTTGCTGCAATATTGACATCAAGTGTGCTTTGCTACAATGTTGAGATAGCAAACTACATTGTGGGGGGACAGAGAGAGGGAGAGGGAATTAGAATTGGATTCACGCCATGTTTGTTGGGCCTCACTCTCTCACCATCCAACACATTGACTGTGATGGCCCTTCAAACTGAATTTTTCACCTGCTCGCCGCATACTTTCTCATCTTGAAGCAAAGAAACATGTTGCTAATATATGCTTTGATGACTGATACTTCATAGGGGAATGGCTGTTTAACTGCAATATGAAGATGTTCTTGTGAATGAGCAGAAAATGGCACAAGGCTGTTTTTAGATTGATTGAAATTTTGCAATACTACATAGAATGTTTTGCAGAAGCCAAGATTTTTGGGAAAACAGAACCTCAGTTAATCATTCCACCATACTATTCTAGTAGACAAATTTTTTACAGTCTCTATCTGAAAGACTACCACGAGATCTTCTAGTGAATTCTCCTGCTAGAGCTAAGCCCTTGTGCAGCCAAACGCCTTTATGTGAAATTCCCAATTTCTTCTGGACCTCTCATCTTTCTTTTGACCACAAATCACGTCATTTGTATCATTGACAAAGTCTTACACTTTATATCTATGGTCATGAGGATTTGAGCATGGGCATCAGACGTTAGGGTTTGTTGGACTCTTGCAACGCATGTCTCCTAAAGTTCAAATCATACTGCTGAACTACCTATTAAAAGATATGTATAATGATTTTCCAGTGAGCACAGAAAAATGCTCACTTTGCTTGTTTGGGTCCACCTTTGAGTCGAAGCATATGGGGACTACATTTATGGTTCTACCATAATACATGCCACAACTTTCAGTGAGACTTGTTTCAATTGTAAGGAAGCATGTGCCCTATATAAGCCATATGGGAAAGAACACACCACTTGGTTGTTAGCCGTTCCATTGAACTCTGATGTATAGGCGACACCGCTTGATTGAATCTCATATTTTTTGGAACATAATGGGATCTTGTCAGACAATCGACGATCCTGAAGGGATCCAATCGGACAATTGAGATTTCATTGGTGTACACATTTCCTGTCACGAGTTGCATCGTATACTACTTTTCTATAGTGCTAATGCCATGCATACTAGGACTTTCAATGATACATCACGGGTTTATATCGCTCATTATGCATACGTGAGGGGCTTAAACATAGGTTAGAGCGATTCGAAATGGACTGCATGAAGCCTAAATAGAATTAGAACATGTTATTCACGTTATAAGCTTTCTGTATAGGTATATTCACGGGATAATCTCAAGTTTCTGCAAAACTTAGCAGGTAAACTGAGTGGAGTTTAATTTGTTTATCATCTTAAAAGGGTTGCTTGTCTCTAAGCAGTCTATGCTTGTAGGGAACACAGGGGCTTGCATTTCACCATAGGAATTCCAACACAGTGTCGGTTTTATTTTTCGAACACCAGCTGATGGAGCTAAATTGACCTCTCCGATAGAGATATCAATGCAAGGGGTGCTGTCACTGCATGCTAGATGAATGGCTTGTGATGTAAAAGTCCCTGAAATTCGATTGAAACCGACATTGGCAACCGACACTGCATCCGTCTGGTTATGGCACACTCTCTTGTCACAGTAGAATTGATCAATCGTGATTGGAACTTTCACATTCGTAACTTGTATATCTGAGAAGAAAACACTCTCAACCGAGCCAAGCCCACCCTGAACAAATAGAACATGTGATTAGGGATTACATAGGACCAATTATCATAGACCCGGCCAAGTTGACTTAGACCTGGCCAAGTTACTCGGATTCAACACCTTGCCAAGCTGAGTTCCTAGGGACAAACTCAAAAATCTAAAACAATCATAAGATTTGTATTTTCTATTATACCAATGAATAAAATTTATACTGTACATATGTTGACAGAGAGGTTTTGGCGCCTTTAAGATGATTTGTCTATTTTTCTATTGTCTCCTTGTGTTGTTAGTCATAAATCAAAATTGTCCAACTTCCATCTCTTATATAATGTTCTCCATCTTTTATAGATCTTTAATGCTTTTTGTAATTTCTATTGCTTTTAACAGAATTTTTAGCAATTTTCAAATAGTAAGTTTTGTATTTTTTAGCACTTTTTGCGCTGGACAAGTCCACTCTGACTCGCCTGAGTTACTCAGCTTGGGTGGGGGACCGGCTCCTGTGCCCGAGCCAAGTTTTTCCACATTGTAGAGTCTCTTCTCAAAGAGGTAAATGTAGCTATACGGTACAACATGGGTCCATGTGTTCCTAGTGAAAATGAGACAACTGTATGTTTGATGTTTTTGTGGTGTATATATCATACGCCTGTGGTTTATGGTATATCTTTCAGAGAGAGATGCGCCTTACCTGCCAAGTTTTGATCCGAGCTCCATAAGCAGTGTCTTGAAGGGTAATGTTTTGGACCGTGATGTTGGAAACACAGGCCAAGCTGTTATCTTTACCCAATGCACCTATGCTGCTTTACGAAATGAACCCCATTTAGTATTGGCTCTTTCACTATAAAAAAAAGTTTATAGAAGGTTGCAAACTTATACAAATAAGGTACACGTCAAAAACCCAGTAAAAAAGAATCTTATGATGTTTGAAAACTTTTTTAATTGATCATCCGATCTTGAGATATATAGATATAAATCATGTCACAATTTTTAAAAAAATTTATTTTGGATTTTGTGTCTAAACAATAACAGATTTTCAACCACCCATTTTATATATAATGGTCAATGATGATTGTGCCTAAACAATTACACATTTCTTAGTAAAAAAATTGAAGCTGAATTCATTGTGAAGCCCAAACTTTGTCTATAGAGTGATGAAGGTTTTAGGCCTCTACCTAATGCCATGGCCAGGACCGCATTGGACATCATGAATGCAAACGTTTGAACACCCAGTTTGAATTGATATGCAATCATCTCCTGCACATCACCAAAAAACACTTATTATAATCTTTTGTGAGGTTGGATATCCCATCTTAGGGTACTGGAGCTAGTTGACATATGTTAGACTTCCCTTGGTAAGATATAATAATAATTAAATATTCTTTAGAAAACTAGAATAAATAAAATACATACTTATGACTCATTGCTCTTTTAATTAATGGGAAGCCTTTGTATGTGGCGCTACCAAGTGTAAAAAATATACAAATATAAAATATATACGTGGACTATTGGAATAGCTTTAGTCGTAATGTCATGCCTAACCCTCTTTTATTTTTAATGCTTATATATGTGTGTGTTCATGCGCACATGTAAAAATATCCTTCCAAGCGGGTTCATATTGGTGAACTTTTTATTCGAAATATTTTTCTTATTTTTATGTGAAATTTATTAAAGTACCAGATTAATGATTTAGTATTCTACCCATATTTTTTTTATTTAATTTAAAAAATGCCCATAAAAATAGGACACGAGCTTGAGTTGGAATGGTTACAAATGGGTTAATTGTTAAATAGGTCATCTCCTATGTGTATTTTGATGAATTATCCTATTTTTATTGGGTGTAGCCCTATGAGAAATGGGGATGCCCTAAAATTTCTCGACAAAATGATTTGTAAAAAATAAAAAACAAAAATAAAATATTCTAAACCATCCGATCAAGATTGGGCATGCGTCAAAATGATTTGATTTGTAGAATAAAAAATTAAAATAAAATATTTTGAGATGTTTATCGATATCGGACACTCAAATGAACTGGTGATATTATGGCTAGTGCAATCTGGATGGGGTGGGAGTAGCAATCACGTGTCTTACATGTGATTTCGTAGAAGAGGTTTCAATGTGGGAACTTACCACAGGCGATAGAAGAATATTCCACTTCAACATCTTGAGAATTTTGCAGATGGATTCCATCGGTATTGGGGCTGTTCCCTGGTGATGAAACAGTGAGGTTGGTTACCAACACCCCACCACAATTATCAAATTTTAGATGGATCGATGGACTGTTTTCGATTGTGATGTCGCCGATGCTTAAGTTGAAACTCTCGTAGAATCTCACTGCCTGAATTTGCATTTCATCTACTGTAAGTATTCTGAGTTCATTTCAACAGGCCAAACCTTTACTTAAATGTTAGAACTTACTGTGGGCTTCATTTTCGGATTGTTTGTCGAGTTCCCGACGGACTGCATGAATAGAAGAATTAAATTGAATGAGATAAAAATTGGTAAAGTCCAAATAAATTTTGGAATTAAAAAATAGTTATATTTTAAGACTTATTTTTTAAGTGTTGTCTTTCTGTGAGGTTTAAAAAATCCAAGTGTTTTGCTTAACATTACATGGAATAGTGAATCATATATCCCACGGTTTTTGCAATATTTGCATGTTGCAGCAATGGAAAACGTATTTAACTCTAGAACTCCAAACCAATAAGAATTTCAACTCCAAATTGGCATAGGTATGGTACAGCGTTCACATGATATGGACGTTTGAAGGGTTTCAAGGGTGCGAAAAACACCTTTCAACGGTTCATGCTGTTGAAATTTAATTTTGTTTTTATTTTTTATTTTTAATTTAATACTTATTTGCACCTGAAATTTGGGACATAAATATAAATTTCCACCAAATATAAATAATTTAAAATGATACTCTTAAACCTTTTGATGGTATTTTGGTCAGTTATTTTATTAAAAATATTTTTTATTATTTTTAGTTGCTGTGACTTGTAAAAAAGAATCTACTCCTTAAATTTCAGGTAAATTTTTTTTTAAAAAAAAAAAAATATAGAAAATAAAATACAAAATTGAATTTGAACGGTAAGATTTTGGTGTGGTTCAATTTGAACCGTAGGAAGGATGCCTTTGCACCCTTCCGCCATCCACATGGTATGGTGTGGATGATGGGTTTCCATTGGCATAATGGAAGTGGATTTTAGGTACCATAGATTTTGTTATCTGAGATAGATAGGCTTTTTTATGTCCCTAAAAGTAGGAAATGCCAAGAGTTAATAGGAAATAGGCAGTGTGTTCTATGCTCACTAGGAGACTGCAGATCGTGCTCCCTAATGAGCATCTCCTAACCCAATGGACGATGAACGGTCCCGATCGGTGGGCTAATTTCGAGCGTCCAGTGTTGGATGGCGGCTGCCCACTAGGGAGCATACCATATCGTTTCTCCTAATGAGCACAATGAATTTTGCATTATTTAAAAGCCTAGGTTGGGCTTTAGACTCACTAGGGTCCCAAGCCCAGGTCAGAAATCAACTTGCCGAGTCGGACCGCTTGAGTCAGCTGAACCTCCCGGGCTTGTACTCGCCTGAGTCACCATTTCTTAAAACACTGGAATTTTACCTGGAAACTTAACATGCATAAAAAGGAGAAAGCTGAAAAGCAATATGGTAGACCTGGTTAGATTGGAATAGTGGTACATCCCACCAAGCTGAACCTTGGCCATCAATGGACCCAGTTCCTGTCACTTTGAAGTTTTGAAGAAACTTGAAGTTGATCCAAGTGAACAATCCCGACTCGGGCCAGTCATCCAAATTCGAAGGCGCAACAATTGTTCCATCGATCTGTTTCCATAAATCCGGTTTGTGTCAAATCGAGTGTAATTAATTATTTTGCTGAACTAAACAAAGCATTTTTTACGATCTTCAAGTTCAAATCCATTATGTCTACCTCTAAGAAGAAGCCTAAAGAGCGTGTTTATGCAATATAATGCATCAAGCTTTGTAACCTCATCAAAATTAGTAATGAAAATAATAACAAATATTAATACAAACCTTAAGTACAAGTCCAGGCTCACATGGCCCTCGAAATGTTAATGGCCCGATAAGAAACCGGAATTCCGATGGCACCTCAAATATTGCAGACTCAACTTTACAAGCAGCAGCCCATGTTGCTAGGAATGCCTAAAAACAACACAACCTTATCATGTTACAATTGTGAAGAACTAATAAAGAGATTGAACACTATAAGACTATTTCTCGCTAATACAAAAAGGTCACATTCACCCCTAGATCTAAAATTTAACAATTCGAGGTGTGTCATAAAGTTTAAAGAGCTTTTTAATTCTTTGATCGCAGCCAATGGCACGTCCCTAAGGGCCCAATCTTTGTAACTTCCTTGTGCCAAAGACAAATAGTGTTGTAATACATTTTTCGTGTAACAAAATATGAAAGAATACTTCAGTAGAAATTCTAATGGGAATAACCATGAACTTTCATTGGTGATTTGCAAGTGTACAACTGTGCATATTCTTAAAAACTAAATAATTATTTTTAGCAGAGAGAGAGAGAGAGAGAGAGAGAGAGAGAGAGTTCTCACAACCTTGGAATCATCAGATGTTCCATCGCCCATGGCTCCAAAAGATAGAACATCCAAGATGGTGATGTTATATGGGTTGTAAAGTCCATAATCAGCATTAATTGAAGGATTAGGACGAGACACATGATTCCCATCGTTATGCACTCTGTGATTGTAATGACTATGGGATTTCAATTCCCAAATATGAACATTTCTCGGATCGACAAGCCTTAGAAGGAGTAGAAAAATGAAGAAGTTCAAAATAAAGTGATAAATCCTAGCTGAGAATAAAGTAAACCTTAGTAGAGACATTCTTTGAAGTTTTAGAGAGAGAGATATTCTGGAATGATTTTATGGTTGAGGAGGAGATAGAGTTGCAGAGAATATATATAAGTTGCAGTCGAGGACTCGAGTGTCTTGGAGAAAAAGGAAAGAGAATTGGTGCCCACAGCTATGGAGTTCATCCCACATTTTGAGGATATTCTGACCAAACGTGAGCAAATTGTTTAGCTTTTGCAGCCATTTTGAGTTTAGAAGTGGAGGATGCTACATTTTTCAAGATTTCCTGGCTAAAAAGTGAGCAAATTGCTTTAGCTTTTCCTGCTGGTTTGAGTTTGAGCAAGTGGAGGCCATGAATGTGGCCATGGTTTTGGTGGTCCTTCATAGGCCGATAGAGGGAAGTAGTAAGGTTGAGGGGAGAAAGAGAAATATCAGCTTTCCAAGATATGGGGTGTAGTAAAGACAAGAGCCCCAAAATTTGACTGTTTTCTCTCTCCTTGATTTAAAATCTTTGACATTGCCCTACCCTTGAGGAAAATGTTCCGATAGGGCTGCAGTTCTATTAAAATAAGTAAACCATCACCTCAAAACTCATAAAAAAGACTGTAGTTTTGGTGTCGGAAAGTCATTAAATCAATCATCTGTCATTATGGTTATAGAAAAAAGTGGACATTTCAAGCTCTCAAAATAGTGTACATTGTAACGTATTAACCAGACCATTCATTTTGCTTAAAAATAAGTATTCATAAATCCGTAAGATATACCATTTTTCTGAACTTCAAATTTGGTTGTCGGTGTTAAAAATTGATTTTAGAGCTATCATAGACATTTATGATGCCCAAAGTCATCTTTCGGACGAGAATTTGAGGTGAAGCTTCATTTGTTTTTATAAAAACCTAGGCCTCCATTACTTGAAATTCTCTTTTGCCCTCTTTGAAAGGGTCTCTCTCACATGTTGCTCTCTTTGCATCGTATCGTTTTTCATTCTCTCCAATGTTCGTCACATATCTAGTTCTATTGTGTTTTGAGCTTTTATTTCATGGCTACTTCATCACATATCTAGTTCTATTGTGTTTTGAGCTTTATTTCATGGCTACTCATGTGCCACCAACCAATAAGTGGGGAAGAAAATTTGTTTTTTTTTTTTTTTTAAAATAAATACCCTCATGATTTTTTTTTGTTTCTTTTAAAGATGCATGTGACATCAACAACGTGTTTTCTTTTTCTTTTAACTTAAAATGGTAACACAAAAGTAGAAAGAGAGGGGTTTTGTGGACATTTTAGCAAAGGATATAGACATGTGGCCATTTGAAGTATCCCCAAGTGACATCATTTTATGAGTGGTGGGGGACAAGAATGTGGATCACTTGGGCATGCTCGCAACTCGTGTAAGTTTGTAAAAGACAAAAAGGGAAGTGGCACTCCACCTAGCTTCCAAATAATTAAGCAAAGAATGATATAAGCCAAAAGATTCTATGCTCCTATGGGAGCATAATTATCCATTTGCTCTCTCAAGCACCACCCCCGTCTTAAAGTATTTCTATGATATTAGCGACCAACCTCAAAAAAGATAAAGAATATTAATCAAACTCAGTTCGTGCCTCAAAAAGTCACGTCATAATATTGAATAGAGACCGTCCAAGTGTTTGATCAAAGTGTTTAAAAACGAAAAAAACATGTAATAATTATTTGGTGATCCTTAAGTTAGAAGGATATAACGACCCGTTGAGGAGGTTGAGGTTATGGCCCTTGTTAGAGCGGAATGACAGAACGAAATTATTTTAGTTAATCTCAAATAGATGAAACAAGGCTCAGTCATGATTTGGTGATTTCTTAAGTGGAATCTAATATTTTTAAAGTGAAAAAATTCTCCAAAACAGTACATTGGTTAGAGAGAGTCAAAAAATAAAATGCTCCTGCAGGAGCATAAAACACATGCTAATGACATAATAAATTTGGTTTAGTAGGGCTAGGTTGTGAATGATATAGGTGCTTAGGTTTTCTCCGTCTTTCGGTCACTCTCTGCTGTGAGTGCTATGCTATCTCTTTCTCTCTCCCTCCTACCTCAAAATGTAGCGTCTTGGCGAAGCCCGAAAGGAGCCTCCCTCCAAACGTAACCACATATCATAGATCACCCACCTCTCCAAGGGTGAGCTTACAACACTTAGAAAATAGTATACAAAAGCAGTGTTTAAAAAAAACGGTTCGGTGACTCGAATAGGTCGTGGATCAGATCGGAAGAATCGGCAGAAACAGTAATTTTTATTTCAATTTTTTTAAAAAAATAATTCAACAAAAAATCGTTCATCCTTTTTTTTTTCCCTTGACTGAGTGAATAATCGGTCGGAATCGATGAAGAATCAGTCGGACTTGGTGTAGAATCAGTCGGACTCGGTGAAGAATCGGTGGTTCCGTGAAAAAATCGGCGAGTCTACTATTTTGAATAGACCAAATCCCTGTTTTTTACCAGATCTGGGACGATCGATTTTCAATCCGAATCACTCGATTTCAGATCGGGTCACCGATTTTTAAATCACTCATACAAAGCAAATAGGTATTTTTTTGTTTCTAGATATGCTACATTTTCTCTGGACAGTGTTTGCCCTACGTAGATCAAAATTGGTGTGACTATAGGATATGCAAACTTGTCCTCGAGTATGAGGAAACAGAATATCTAAACTATTTTGCTTATTCAAATGCAGGAAAACATTTAGTTTTACATAGAAAATGAGTAAGAGAAAGATTGTTAGGAAAATACTATCTTTTGAAGGAAATATTCGTTTTTTTTAATAAAATAAATAAATAAAAAGAAAGAACAAAGAAGAAAAAGAAGAGATATTCAAGTTCTATAAAAACATACACTACCAAAGGCCACTCCATCTACAAGCCATAAGACGCGAATTTAGGAATTGGGCTTGAGCTTCATTGGTTGGCAGTTGAGGTTTAACAATGATATATGTCAAGTATAATTCCTAACACTGAACTACAAAAAAAAACAAACATTACAACTAAAACCAAGGTTTGAAAAAAGGTTTCTATGCAGCCAGTCCGTATATTGTAGAAATACGGGCTTGGCAATAAATACATATTTTAAATATAATTTGATCTTAATTTTTGGAGAATATATACTCTTTAACATAGAGACCATGAATATGTAGAAAAAAAAAAAAATTGAAAACTATAAATAATAATTACATTAAAAAAACATTTGGACCGTTAGTTATAGTTGTTTTTAGATGGACCACCTACTTGCATCCATCTTTAAAATTGATGCTTTATACCATTTCAAAGTCGAGATGGTGTCAATTAGAAGGTTTTCTAACTTCGGAACACTCTTTTCTAGCGGATTTTTAAGATACAACTTACTTCTATAGTATATGGTTTCAGCCTAATATAAACTTTTCCCTTTCAATAATTCACTCCCTCGCGCAAAAAATTATTTTAGAAACATTGTTAGTATCCCAAATTTTGAGATATAAACCTCAAAAAAAAAAAAAAGTATTGAAATGCAATATGTCCCAACTAGAAAAGGTATATTTTAAAAAAAAATTGAACCTGTATCGGGCTAATTTTTGAACGGTAATATCTAACTTCCTTAAAACTTTATATCAAAATTTTTATTTTTAAAATAATCATTTGGTGTAGATATCAAGATAAAAAAGAAAACTCCTTAATAGCTCTTTGACACGAAGGAAGCAATTATATGCTATGCTCCCGACAGAAGCATGATGTCTGCGCTCTTTTTAATCGTATAAAATCAAAAGTAAACAAAGTTAAGGAAAAAGTTTATATAAGGTTGCAACCTTAAAATGTAGAATTACATATGTACCTCAAAAATTCATTGAAAAAAGTTATTTTAATGTTGAAAAAACCTCTAAGTGATCATCTCAATATTGAGATGTATGAATATGGGAAAAAAAAAAAAAGATTTTGAGTCCTAGAAATAGTGCATCTGCAATACATTATCTAGACCTTCTATTTTCAAGATTTTCATATGTTCATAGATCTACTTAATTTTAACCTTTTTTTCATTTAAAATTTTATAATTAGATATGAAAATAGATTTTGAGATAATCTTAAGAATTCTTTTCACCAAAATTATATGTTATGATAAAATTTGGAGGTGCGCCCTAATTGGATTGTTTAAGGTCGCAACCTTATAGAAACCACAACCCCAACGTTAATGGCAGTTTGGTGAACCTTCAGCTAGGTATTGAGAAATAGAAAAATATAGAAAGAGACCATTTATTTTTAACACAAAAATGTCACAATTACTCTTGTCTGTCAGATTTCAAATCAGGTAATTGTAAGTGTGTTAGTGATTAAACTCGAACTTCAAAAAAAAAAATCTCAAACTTTATATCACCTCCCCCAAACCATCCAATTTGACATCTAATGATTATTAATAATTGTGACTTCTTTGTAACAAAGATAAATGATCTCATATTAATTCTAGAGAAATAAAGGTATATAATGTGCATAAATACTTTAGTTTCTTTTCTTTTTTTTCTCTCTAATTGAATCATTGTTTGAGTGAATCTTTACAATGTCATAATAATGTTCTACAGGACAAAATCAAGACCATATAACACAACGTAGCATCACCGAGGCTGCTAGGCACGACTGCATTCAATGTGAATTTGACAAATCAGGGCCCAAATTTATGTGTGAATGGACCTTTGGATTCCATATTTGTAACATTCCGTGGAGCCCAGCGCAAGCCCGTAGAAGGCTTTATTGTTGCCAAAAGATAATATGGAATATACAATTTATTTACTCCCTTGTCTAAAGCCCTACCTAGGTATAATTTTAGAACTCCAAATTTTGGTGATCCAACCTTTTCAACTATTAAGAAAAAAAATTTTCGAATTACACCATCTATGCACTTGAAAAATTGAATAATGTTCTCAATATTGAATAGAAACCGTCCAATTTATAACGAGTGAGATATAAGTGTGAGGAAACCTAAAATTCATTTTCTTGCTAATGAGAGTAATAGTTTGTGATTTTTAGGGCCTCCTAATATTTCAGATTGAAAAAAATCCTTCCAAGTAGGT